GGCCATGTTGGGTGCTGTTGCAGATAACAGAGCAAGCAGATCGCCTTGCCTTTGAGACACCAAAGCACAATTTAGAAATAACGTTTTGACTTATTGGTGAGGGCTGCAGAGGATACAGGTAACTGTGTTTTGTGTGAAAATTGCCACCCCTCCCCTCTCCTATCCTTCAGCAGTCACCCTCTTTCCCGAATTCAGGGTTCTTATCAGTGTTCCCCTGGCCTTCTCTCCAGCCTGCACTCCACACAGAAGCAAGAGCAAAGTCGAAAAACCCACCAACACAGAAACGAAAACTCTTGCTTTCAATCTGACTCCCCTGTGCCAACCTAGGAGAGACTTCCCAGGCCTTACCGTGCCCCCCCTTCCCTCCCACTTCAAGCTGCCCTGCACCTATCTCCAGGCAACTCAGGGTCAAGTTCATTCACACATTTACCTTTTCACTTGGGTGAAGGAGGACAGTAGGACATGTACTTCTTTTAGTGTCTATGGAGCAATCTGTTTGGATGTCTATTAATTGTGACATGAGAGTACTGACAGAGGGTCCAAGGACACAAAGCAGGTTCACATGAATGCCCACTGGGTGCAAATATTTCAAATCAACACATGTCTAGAAAAGATGTTCAGTTGGAGGCAGCTAGCTAGCTGTATTCAGTGATTACTGTCTGATGGCATATCAGGAGTAGGTTTTAACTCTTGTATTTTACATACTGAATTTAGCATATTGCCAGGAGGTACAGAGAAAATCTTCAAAGAGCCATGGTTTCAGGAATACCCACTCCTCTCTTTCCCTTCATTCCTCTTCACATTTATACAAGGCAGACTTGAATAGTGTGATGAGAACAGCTGAGAAAGGATTTCATTATGCTGCATGTTCAGAAACTGTTCAAGCCCAGCTAAAACCAAGGCCTTGACTTGGGTCAGGAAGAAATGATATCATTGATGTGATGCACTAGTTGCACCAATTTGAAGGAGGGGCTCCAGGGAGGCACGTGTTCCCCACGGCACCTTTACAGGACACTGGCTGGCCTACAATGGACCTTTGTTCTTCTGTTCAACCAATATTCACTGAGTAGAGGATTTGTTTCTCTAAGTTTAGAGCTTTAAGCTTGTTGATGAGAGCTAAATTTCTCCTCTGTCTGTCATCTACCTTTGGGGTCTCTAAGTTGGACTTTATCTTTGGTGTTCTTTTAGTCACTCCCTCTCCTTTCCAAGCCCACTCCAGTGTTGAATATGCAGCAGACACTCAACAAATATTTGCTAGGGCAAAGCAGAAGGCAAGGACAGGTGACTTGGAATAAGCAACATCGTGGAGTAGATCATTGTTCTCTAATCCATTTTTGACATTAGAGAATGCTCTCTGAGGCTAGTGCTGGAGCATCTTTCCAGAAAGTCCTGCCAATGTTATGACTCTGGTTAACTTTGGTTTCTTTCTGCTGGCCGCATAGCATTTGCCACGGAAGTGCCTTGGTTCCTCCTCTCCCTCCTTTCTACCTGCTTCTTTCCATTCTTTTCCATTCCTCGTTTTCCTCTATTCCTCCATGAATATACTTGAAACCTGCTCTCTGTCAGGTACGGTGCCAGGCTTTCAGGGCACATAGAGAGGCCATGCTTGGTACTCAGATTCATGCACAGGGAACTGGGTCTAGTGGGAAAGTGGATGCATGTGCAGACTAGTGTGAATGGCACAGGAAGGCTCCCAGAGTTCAAAACAGAGACCAAAATGGCCAATGTGAGAAGGAAAAAGAAGTGGCAAGCTGGAGGACCACAGACATTGTCCCAGGAGAGGTAGCACAAATTCAATTTTGAAGAAAGAATACATAAAGCCTAGTTGAAAAACACAGAAAGTGTGTTCTAGGTAAGGAGAAAACACACCTATATGCACATCCACAGGCACACGTGCACCTAGGCATGCTCAGGCAAGGAGGTGGGAGGGGAATGGCTAAACTAGGTCAGGTTTTTCTCTGTGACTTATCACTTCCGTCCACGGCTTACATTCATTCTATCTACTTATCGAATGGCGAATGAAATGACTTAATCTGTGGGTCTTTGAGGACATTTGGCTACCTAATCATTTCATCTCTTATTAGAAAGGCATTGACAAGGCAGGCTAGCCATGAGATTAAGCACATTCTCAGGTAAAAACAGGACTGGATAGGAGGGAGATCAAAATATTCCTCCCAAACATGTTTTTTGCCTGTCTTAAATTGGTTATTCAGGGAAATTGAAGCCTCCATAGAGACAGGAACAGGAATGGCTCTTGAAAGCTAACCTTTTGAAAAGAAACTTATCTGTCAGTATTGGTAAAAACCAGAGGCAGGCACAGCCCTTTCTTCTGGCCTTTCTCCTTTTCTGCCTAACCTAGATCACTCCTAAAAGAATGATCGGGGTCCAACTCGAGGCTTAAAAGGGAACTACCTGTTGCCTGAAGTGTTTGCTCCCAGGAATGCACACCCATCTTCAGAAGGGAAGCCCTGTCCCCCTTTTCTTTGTTAATATCTCTATAAGATTCAACGTTTGCCTTCATTGGGTCTCATGCTCAATTTGTGTGTAGTTACCGTGCTTAGGAACTGTGATAAAATTTATGGTTTTTTTTCCATTGCATTGCCAATTTATTTCCAAACTAAAACTTCTTCGGAGTATGAATTTAAGTGGTGATAGGAATCCTGGTGGGAGTCTGATGGAAATCAGGCAATTGCTGAGAAATGAAATATAATACACTTAATTTTATCTCATTTCACCATGGGAATTTAACTCAGAATCCTTTGCCATGAAGACTGACCCATCAATCCATGGGCTCTCTTAACCATGAGATAGAAAAGACTGAAGAAAGAGGGCAGGATCTTCTAGGAACTTCAGGCTTTGGCAAGGTCCATTGGAAGTCATCTGGACTGAACCTTTGCAGGGCCTATACATTGCAGAACACTGGGGAAATCTTCCCCGTCCTGCCAACTCAGCTGTGTTGAGAGGGAAAACTAAGGAGACCAAATCCTTCTCCCAGGGTGGTTTATTTCTGTTCATAGATCCTCCAAAAACAAGAGGCCAAGGCTGACCTCTTTGGTCAAGAGTCAGCTCAACTTTAAAATTATGATCGCATGTGAAGGCTAAAATGGGAAAGGGAAAAAGCAGTTCTCAGCACAGAAATGCTGAAAATCCTTGGATCACATTCCAGTTCAGGTCTTGGTCCCGGAGGGGGAGCACCCACAGTGGGTAAATGGGTGGGAGATCAGCCAAGCCCAGTTCAAACCAGGTGAATGTCAGGGATCATAGAGTTTACTCTAGAGGTGTCCAGTTTATGAATAAAAATATTTACTATAGTGATTATGCTAGGTTATCCCTAAGAAACCATAGCTCATGCCAGGACTTAAAATTGAGAGATGCCTATCAAAGTCTTCATGCAGTCTCAATGAACCATGTGCATTAATTAAAGCAAAGGCGAGACTATATATTAGTTCCCTAGGGTCTCCATAACAAATGACCACTAACAATAAGTTAAATCAACAGAAATTCATTCTCATACAGTTCTGGAAACTAGAAACCTGAAGTCAATACTGATTCCTTCAGGCCTACCCTAATATAATATGAGGTCATTTTAATTTAACTACATCTACCCAGACCCCATTTCCAAATAAGGTCACACTCAACAGGTATCCTGGGTTAGGACTTCAACGCATCCTTTGAAGGACACATGAAACCCACAAGAATGTAAAATGAAAACAAAACAAGATCTTGTGTGAAAGAAAAATCAAAACCTTGAGCTAGACACAAGACTACCTGGCTATCCAACCAACCATCTGCCCCCCCTGGGTTACCCTTGCCCTCTGTAAGTCTTGGTTTTGCCTCTCTGAAAGCAAAGTTTGTCCTACTTACTTCAGAAACACCCTGGGAATAAAATAAAACCACATAAAGTATTTGCTATTGGGAAATTGTTTCTACAAGTGCAAGGGATTATTATGAATTCATTCCAGGTTGTGTTGACTTTTCCTTAACTTCATAACTACTTAATGAGTAGGTAATGGAATAAGAAACATAGCCTGTCTTACAGGGAAGAGAATTTAAATTACATGCCTCCCTTCATTTAGAGTTTGAGATAAAAGTACAATAGAAATCTGTAGATAAGGGGAATAATATTGCAAATCCTTGTTCACTCAACTTTTTACTCACTCCAAGACTGGGTGGTATTCAAATGCAGTTGCAAAGTGGCAAGCATTTAAAAGCAAACCAAGAAGACTGATGTCAACTGCAATATCAGCAGATATTCTGAAAGGCAGTGGTTCTCCTCTGTGTGGTCCATATTCCTGGGTATAATGACACTGTCCTGATAGTTTTGCTTTGTAGTGCTGGGTATCAAACCTGGAGCTTCACACACACTAGCTAAGCACTCCACCACTGAGCTACATCTCACTTCCCAATGGCCACAGTTATTTGAATTTGCTTTGCCCAGTGCTTATCTGGATATAGGTACAGAGACCACCCAACTTATAAAACGAGCCAAAGACAGCAGTTTTTTTTTTTCAGAATGATGAGAAATATACCTGTATCTTAAACAAAACCACCATTGTTATAGCCAGAAAAAAGGATGAAAAAAATGGGCCCTCTCCTCCCCCTTTTAAGGAAATTGGGAACTCCAGCAGCAATGAGAAAATCTTTTTTTCTTCAGGTCACTAGCTAGGTCACTGTGGAAAGATGGCTTCTTCTGGAAATAGCAGCAACAAAAAAGGCGTCATTGGGATAAGCTTGAGAACTACAGCTACAGCTATCCAAAGCATGTATCCACTCATGACCACAGTGTAGATAAATTGTTGACCTTGGATTTGGGTGGGAGATGGGGGTATGGGGGTACCCACTGCTGACCTGGGAAAAATCCCACAGGGGAAAAAGAGCACTAAATAAAAAGTAACAAAGTTTCTCAGAGAAAGTAAACTAAAGCCTCCATTTCTCACTGCTGGGACTATGCGTCCCAGGGACTATTATATACCCTCAGGAACACACCAAACCACACACCAGTTAATAAACAAAACACTTTATTTTCCTTTAATACAAAAATTAAATAGCAAGATTTTTTGTACAGTGATAAATTAGAAATTTACAGTACAGACATCAATGCAGACATACTTTTATATACCCTTAAAAAGAGGGTCCATTTCCTTTGAAATTCAGTATATTCAGGGCATGTGTAACAGGGTCTTTCCTGGTACCTCTGTGTCAAGCATCTGAAAATCCTCCGGTTGTCTCCAGGTTTCTGAAGCTGTGGAGAAGCACAAGAATCCAAGAAAAGGCCAAAGAGCAACAAGGTAATCTGCTGTGCAGAGCAAGTCAAATCATTATTGCATCTATTTGTAGACTGCACCTGGTGCTTAGTTCATCTTTATTATGAAGAGCTCAAGGGGCCATCATCCTTAGACCTTCTAGACCTTCTAAAGCCTCACAACATCTCTGTGAGGTAGAAGAAATTCAGAAGACCTAGATGCCCACTAGGAGAGGTCGAGAAAGCAGCTTACCTGTCTGTCTCCATGCCAACAGCCAAGTCAGAGCCTGAGCCTATTAAATTTCCAGGATTTGGAAATTTGCACAGCCTGGGAAGAAAGATAGACCCAACCTTCTCTGGAAACTCTGGTCTCATCACTCTTCAGAAGCCTCCTGGGATGATTGTGCTCATGTACTGAGTATTGCGAGAGATCAAGGAGGCCCAAAAGCCCTGAGGACGTGGCTCACATGGGACTCCAAAGAGACCCTCTACAAATTGTCTGGGTGAGTATTAGGAATTGGCTGATGCTAAGATAAGAAATAAGGCAAATGAGAAACAGAAACAAGCTACTACCAGGGCAAATGGACTTGCTAGAGGAGAGGCATGCCAGGGAAATTCATGGTATATTTCCCTCTTGGTCAAGTGCACCATTATTGCACAATCTGCATGGAGAAAAGGCAGTTACAGAGAGCTCTGTCCTGGAGCCAGTGAAATAAAATATTGATTCAGGCTTTAGTATCCAATCCTTGGTAGGAGCAAAATGCTCTCTCAGGAGTGTTCAAGATCTGTGACCTAGGCATGGAGGGAAAATAATAATCTAGGTCCTTTGCTAGACATAACTGTAAACCCAGACAGGAACTCTGAATTCAAATATAATAAAAGAAGTAAGCGCACCATCCAAGTCCAGGGACTATCAGGACTGGCAGCAATAGCAACTCTCCCCAATACCCTCCATCACAGAATAGAATTCAGACTATCCACTGGTCATAAGAGGTTCCTTCAAAAGTCTGTGCCCTCTGGCTCCCCTTCCAAACTGCTACTGTAGTCCCCGTAGCAGAGGCCCAGGACTGTTATATTGTTGAAATCCCTTTCAATTATGCCTGCTCTTTCCAGGCTGAGGATGTCAAGTTCATCTTGGTGTCCTATGTCCAGGCCTGACTCTCAGTACAAAAATCACAGACTTTGTTAGAGTACATAGCTGGAGGTGTTAGATTGGATGGTGATTCTGAATTTGATGAGGAAGTTTCTCAGGTTCTGGGTTTAAGGAGTGTAAGTGAGGAAATGATGGGGAAAAGAAAGTCAGTGACCATCTCAGGAAACAGAGTGTCACCCTTCTCCTGTTTCAGGCCTCTGGGCAAGATGCCAGCCCAGAAGCCATCTCAGCAACCAGGAAATGGGTCACCATAACGGAAGAAAGATATGATCAACCAAGTAGCTGAACCAGACGGTTCTGGCCCCTTCTACCCTACACCCCGTTCCTCTGCCCTGAAGTTTGGCTTTTATGAAGGAAGGCAAAAGAGGTGGTTGGGCAGAAGTATCCTTAGCATTGCTTAATAAGGCATCTGGGGGCTTGGAATTTTTATTGAAAGCTACCATCACATCTACTTATTCTAGATCCAAAAGAAAACAAAACAAACCTAACGTTTCCCTCAGCATGCTGCTGCCTTCAAATATACTGACATAAGTCACATGGGGCACCCCAAGCCCTAACCTACCTACCCCTCAAGTCATCGTAGATACTGGAGCTCATGTCCTTATAGCTATTTTGTATCCGAGGGAATTTCTATGGAGATTGCCATGAAGCAGAGCTGATGTTTCTGTCATTAATTTGAAAGGAATCTAAGGAAAGGAGAGATGTGGTCAAGGTAGAGAGACCTAGAAAGAAACTTGTGGGAAGGATATAGTGAAACATATGAATTCCAAAGGCTGCTGCTCCTACACAGAACCAACAGTGAAGTCAGGAGAACCATTTTTTCCTGCCTTGCATCCATGAGAAGAACAGAGCTTATCTCCTATGGCCTTCCTAAAACATTTAACATGGGGCTTTACCCAGTTGGCACTCAATACTTACGTGCTGATAACTCTTTCCTTAAAAACAAGTACAATTTTAAGAAGGGACTGAGAAGCTAGAAGGTCACTGGTAACTGACTCCACAGCCACAATCTTTCTTTCCTGAAACCAGAAACATTCTCCATTGCCTGGAACCTGAAAGGGAAGGCCTATGACCCTATGACATTAACTACTAATCCATTCTGTACTGACAGCCCCTTCTGCTCAAATATACCTTGCCCTCAAAAGGCAAGTGATAGGTGGAACCAACCCCAAAAGTTGTCAAGATACAAGCTCCAGAACTCAGAATGAAGGTGGCCAGGGTCATGCAAGTGCTTGCTGCTATGATTATTACTAAAACACTGATACATACTAAAATCCTACTGTTCCCCAGATCACTGAAGGGTGTTGTCACACAACACGATCACTGAAGCACTACACACAAAACTGTATTACAAACCCCATAACAGCAAAAGCAGTCCTTCACCGCATGGTCCTCCTTCCCTTTCCTGGGCTAGAATCACTTCACAACTCCCAAGACACCAGAGCAGAGCGTGAGTAAGGGCAGGCTTTGCCTCTGGATGCATGCTCCAGGGCCCAGGACAGCTATGGGAACAGTCTGCAAGCGGCACAGGACGTGTACATTTTATATTTTGTAGACAACTTGATCTCAGGAGATAAACTGGCCCTTCCAGGGATCAGTTCTCATGCTCCTGGAGCCCTACCCTTCGGGCAGTCTAGGTACTCGGGCTTCATAAATCAGCAGGGGCTACCCTAGCCCATGTAGCCATCAATCTCAAAAGTCCTTCTAAATACACAATAGGCCTTATATGCATCTTGATCTCAGACAGCTAAATAACACAAAAAAGCAAGGAGGTGGGGAAAAAGAAAATGTCAAATCACAGACATAAAGCTCAACCCATATATATTTTTTTTTCTAAAATTTGATTATCTATTTGGAGTCCCTGTTAATATTTCTCCTCCACAAAGTATGAGAGAGAGAAAAAAAAGAGCTTTCTTAATAAAAAGAAAAAACATGAAATTAATAAATAATCATTGAAAAGCAGCTGCTGAGGCACACACATGAATTATAAGGAGAGCAACTTGTGACACACAGACAACAGTTTGCCAGAGATCTGGCGATTACAAGGCCCAAGGCAGGTTAAGAGAAAGGCCAGTTACAATGTTAAAAGAACTGCAACTTTTGATAGGTTGCTAGGGGGTACCTCCTTGTGAGGAGCTTAAAGCATAAATTTTAAAAGCTTTGGATACCTCAGCAAAGGCAATTAAGGCCTGAGCTGTTAGACTTTGCAGTTAATTTCATATGGTCTACACTTTATTCCCTGCTAACCAGTCCAGCTTCTTACCAGCATTCTGGAGATTCATTAAGCACCATATAAATACTCCAGGCCCCACCGCCTCCAATGAAATCATATAAGGAGCCTTTGCCAATTACTAGGGAACAATTATGCACCAAATATGTGGATCCGCTGTCCTTAGTTCCCTTTACAAAACGGAATAAGTCTCCATTGTGGTAAGTAGACCAAACTCTGATAACATTCTTATGGTAGGGGGGAAAAGGCACTATCATTTTAAGAATACAAGTTGACCATAGTTTTAAAGTCAATAGAGTGTACTATGTCATAGTCCAAGAATGTGCTTTTAATTGTAATTGACACACACAAATTACACAGTTAATCTGTGTGAATGCAAAGTTGCCAAGAAATTTAACATTTCAGTTCTTTCAGACTGGCGTCTGCATAGATGCAATCACACGAAGTAAAATATATTAAGTCCCCATTGCTTAATGCAATAGGTCTCTGGGGTGAGTAAGGTAAGTCAACTTAGTAAATCTCATTTTCCTCTGAATTAAGTGATTGTCAGAAAGTGAATCACCTTTCCTTTTCCCCTCATTAGGCATGCTGCAGTGCAAAAATTCCTATAAAAATACCTTTTTTTTTTTTTTTTTTTTTTTTTTGAATCATTAGTGTAAAGTGAAGGAAACAGCAGCAGCCTGGAACAGGGATGTTAAAATTTTAAGAGAGGAGAAGAGAGAAAAATCCACTGGATACCTTATGTGTGTTAGTAGAGTACTTTTGTTTGTTCAAACAATTCTGTTTTATGACAAAGGCACTGAAGGATTTTGACACTACCTCTTGGGAGTGCAATCCACAAAGTTCTAAACAGCAGACAGTACACCACAAAGATGTTTATGTTAGACCAGCCAAACTATAAAACTCTGTAACACTTCTCCGAACCCAGCGTTTCCAGTGTTTATAGATCACTTTGCTATCTGAAAGACCTAGTTAGTATTTAAAATTTAAAAGAGTTAAAAAAATAATCTTTCTCCCTGCAGATTACCAAGTCACAGCTGAAATCCCACCTCGTAGGGGAAAACAGCATCTTGCCGGCCCTCTTGGATTTTAGGCAAGACCTCCACGCTCCAAGCTGCGACCTGCTAAAGTGATCAACATTTTGATTTTTCACAGCTTTGAAAGCCTCTCACGGGCTTTTCCATTTTGGATCATTCCAAAGTCTCCAGCAAAATCATTGATTTTATGATGCTAGGTGCGGGTGAGGGGTGCTGATTGATGGGGATCACTTAAGTGTTGCTAGTTTGTTCAAATTCCAGAGTCACTGCACAAAATTCTTAGTAGCATTTCCAGAGAAACACCGGCATTTCCTTCAGAATGAGGATCATGTGGAGGCTAGCTAGTCTTATACCACAGTTTCACTGCCTTTCCCAGGCTTCACCCAACCATTCCCTCTCTTCTCTCTCTTTACCTTCCCAGAATTCACCAATCTATTAGAACATTTTTGCCACGTGTGAAGAGTTTTGGCAGACCAAATCCACATGCCTGAAGTGATGCCCACAAGCAAAGACATAAAAATTTTCAACATTTCAACTGCCATATTAGAGTCATCTGCAGAATAGCGAAAGAGTGCCCAGTTGGAGATTTCATAGAAATAACAGGCAATCACACAGGTTGCAGGAACCGTGTACAGTACTGAGAACACCCCAATCTTCACCATCAGCCTTTCTAACTTGTCTGTCTTTGTCCCATCTTTTTGAAGATTTGACCGAATTTTGAACAAGGCCACCAAACCGGCAGCAATAAACAGAGTTCCAATCACCAGATATGTAAAGAGCGGGGCCACCACAAAGCCAGTGAGAGCATCGAGGTTTTGGTTCCCAACATAGCACAAACCAGTCAGTTCGTCTGCATCCACTAGTCTCATAATCAAGATGACAATGGTTTTCACCGCAGGGATGGCCCAGGCTGCAATGTGGAAATAAGAGCTGTGCATTTCAATGGCTTCATGCCCCCACTTGAGTCCTGCTGCCAAAAACCAAGTGAGTGTCAGAATAACCCACCAAATGGAGCTAGCCATTCCAAAAAAGTACATCAGCAAGAAAATTATTGCACATCCTGTGTTCTTAAGTCCTTCTTGGATAAGAACAGGTTCTGCTGCCTCTTCAAAATCGCAGGATATCCTTTCCCGGCCTACAGTCAGCCGAACAATATAAGCAATGCTATAAATATTATAGCACATACTGAGAAATATGATGGGGCGTTCAGGGTAAGAAAACCTGGAAGAATCGATCAGGAAGGTCAGCACAGTGAAGGCAGTAGAGATGAAGCACAGGCTAGCCCACACTGCCATCCAAATATCGGTGAACTCCTTAGCTGAGCGACTGTACAGGCCAGCATCGTAGCCACACTTGAGGACACAGTTCAGGCTCCTCTTCACCCAGATATACTGATCAGAATTGGTTCCCACAGAGTGACACTCTTCCCCTGGCTGGATGGGGGTTTTGTGAGGTAAGGGCACCTCTTCATCACCTGGCCCTTCCATGCACATATGGTTGTGGTCATTCTGAGGTGGGAACTTGCTGCAGTTCAGGCTCTCCGGCCAGGCAAATCCAAATTCTTTCAGGACTGGTTCACATCGTCTCTTGACTGAAAGACACATGCCACCGCATGGGCCAATGGGGATGTTGATCTTCTCTGTGCACATCGGCACATAGACCGAACAAAGGAAGAACTGAAAGCAATGAAATAAAGAACACAATGACTTGGAGGTTTGACTGAATGCACAAGCAGTATATATCCACTTTTAAACCAACCTACTGAAAGTCTGTGCTCACTGTGACCACAAACAAGGATGTCAAATAATCCAATCACTTTTATACACTTTCCTTAGTTTGGCTCTAGTAATCTTTTCCACAGGAACATAAATGAATAAATAAGAAGTATCTGAAGAATTACATAATGTCTTTCACATAACCCTTAAGAAAACACTTTTAAAATTTGACTTCTAACATCCCTCTCCTTTTAGCTAGAGTTGAAAGATCTGAAGAGTAATAAAATGAGTTGGTCCTTTTGGTGATGCGTGCTTGATTTTTATCTTCCTTTCCTTGCCTTAAAGATAAGAAACTATAGATCCTGTTACTAGTCTATTTTTCCTCTACTTTATCCTTTAATTTAAAAAAGAGTCAATCCCATATTAGAACAGAAAATATAGTAGTTTGAAACTCAGACCCAGGATGAGATGTGGGCGAGGGTCTCTGGTCTCCAGGGATTTGTTTGGCTAGCATTTCCCTAATGAATAATAATGAAGCACAAAAGGAAATGTAAAGTCCCTGAAACTGCAATACTAGCAGGGGAGAGTCCAGTTGCTGTCCTCAATTCCTTCAGCATTGATAAACAGTCTCCTTGGCTCCTTACAGATGTTGTCTATGAAGTCTAGAGTTACAAGTAACTATTTTCCAGCATGTAAAGGGATCCAGTCTTGTCTTTCAAAACAGCTTGGCTGCTTCCCCAGGATACATGTAATTAAAAATATATATCCCTGCAAAAGCTGTTTCTCCAACAAAATTGCCACTGATGTCAGGAATATGTGTTGTTTCCAGACTGAGAGCAAGAGGATCATTTCTTAAACTTTTTTAACCTAGTTCTAAAGTCCTGAAACCTCCAAAGGGATATTTCACCAGCAACAGGTCTAATCCCAACCATCATTCCAAAACCACAATCCAACTTTTACAATGCCTTCTGTAAAAATATGCAGCTAGTAAATAAACTGTGTCTATTTCTTATCTCCTAGAACTTACAGCCAGAACTACACATTTCTTGGGTTTTTAGATAGACAACTAACCTTTACTTTTTTTTTTCACAAGTGCTATCTCTTCTAAATTTATTAAAGTCACTCAGCCTAAGCAACCAAAACACAACTGTTATGTTTTAAAGTTTTCATCCCAGTCCACCTCCCTAATGAATTGGTTGTTTATGCAAGATTATTAACTACCCTGTATATGCAAATTCCTTTTTCACTTATTATGGTAGGAAGAAAAATTTCTGTATCATTACACATTACATAAGCTTTAAAGTTTTTAATGACTGGAAGGAAAAAAGGTTCTTTCAATATGCAAACTACCTTCCTGGAGCTTTTTCAGTCCCTCCAAACACTAAACCTATACCTCCAGCCCTAAGGACAAAAAAGGACTCAACAACCACTCTTTCCTGTATGACCTCTAAAACTGCAGGGCGATGAAGGGGCACTCTGCAGAAAACAGTGATACTTTATTCAGTAACCCACTCCCCCCAAAATATAGGAAGACAGGAGGTCAATGAGGGGCCTGGAAGGATGAACTTCTTATCTTTCCTTCCAAGCCTTAGCTGCAGCTGGCCGCCCTGCCGGGACTCGCCCACCAAACAGCAGCGGCCCGAATCCTTGGCAAAGATAACAACCCTCAGCTCCACTGGGGTTAGGGGCTTGGCCAGACTTGGGCAGGGGAGAAAAACGGAAGGGCGGGGTGTAAGAATGGGCTCTTTCGCAGGCCAGATGACTTACACAACGTTTTGGCTTCCAGTCTTCGGGAAGGGACAGAAAAGTGGGAGGTGGGGTGGGGGTGGAAATCACTTTTCCAGGAGAGTTCTACTCTCAGGAAGGGGGCAGAGAGCTCGACTTGGAGGGGCCCCAAGGAAGAAGTTTGGGGGGTCCCTGCTTAAGGGGTCGTGGCAGGGGATGAGGGTAGGGGCGCCCACCTGCAGCTGGCTGGAGCAGCCGTACTGGATAAGCGGCGTGAAAGTTGTCAGCTGCAGCTCGGCGTCTGTCTGCAGCTCGTGCCCCACCAGGTTGGGCATCTTGGTCACGTTGTAGCCCAGGTTCTGGCACATGGAAATGCGGATAGGGTCGCAGCGCCGCTCCTCCTCGTCCCCGAAGCCCAGGGCTGGCTGCAGGAGCAACTGCAGCAGCAACAGCAGCCCCAGCCTGAGCCCGACACCTCCAGGCGCCCCCGGGACGCTCGGCCCCGTGCCCAGCCAGGCCATGGCCAGGGCCCCGGGCAGCAGCGGCGGCGGGGAGGGCTGCTCTAGCAGACACCCCCAGTTTGCACCGGGGCGCCGGCTGCCCGCGCTGCTCCCAGCTCCTGGGAAGGGAGTGCGATAAGGCGCCAAGGGCGACGGAGGGGGCAGTGGCCGCCGCTCCCGCTGCTGCACGCGACTGTGCGGGGTATCAGACGTCCGGGGCCGAAACCCGGGGGCAAGCGGCGTGGGTCATGGCTGCAGGCGGCGATCCCATCACCGGGCGCCGGCCGAGTCCGCTCCGTGTCCCCGCGAAGCCCGCCAGCACTCTACGCCGCGCCGCTCTCACCGCCCCGGCGCTCCGCGGCGCAGAAGGTTCTCTGGGCGGCCGCGAGGCGGGACGGACAGCGCACCCGTCCAATGGAAGGGCGTCGTGGGCAGAGGAGGCGGGGTGGGGCGGGGCCGCTCTCCCCCCGGGAAGGGTCAGGTCCCCGCCAGCGGCCTGGTCCTCCCTCCCTCCCCTCCTCCCTCCCCGCCGCGCCCCGCCCCGCTCGGCTTCCCGGTGCTCGCCTTCCTCCCACTCTGATCGACGCGCGCTGGGGCCGAGCGGCGATGGAGCCTAGTGGCTCCGACCCAGCCAAGCTGCCCCTCCCCTCCCAGGTGAGACGTGCTTCCACGTCCGTGCCCCCTTCATTCCCTTTCTCTTCCAGCTGTCACCGCGGGCCCCGTGGCCACCTCCGCCTCAAGCAGTGAAGTGAACACAAAGAACAGGGGATTGGGGCTTTACACCGGGCTGTGTGACCTTGAACAAATCGCCCAACCTTTCGGTGTCAGGGGCCTCGTCCGCAAAGTGACTTGGGAGGATTAGTGATACAGCGTTCCAGCTCTGCTTGGTGCCTGGTACTGCGCGAGCTCGCAGCTATTTCCACCGCTTGCGGGCGGGCGGTGGAGCCCGGCCCCCAGTCCCCGCCCAGACCAGCCGACCTGCGCCCGGGAGCCGGGCTTGGGGAGGCGCCCCAGAGCCGCAGCGCAGCCGACGGGCTCGCGCTCCGATTTCCTCACCCTATGAAATGAAATTCCACAGGGGGATTCGAAAGGAAATGAGACCGGGACACTCCGTGCTTCTCCGCCCGCCGCCCTTCCTGTCTCGGGGACACGGTTTCTAAATAAGGTTGGGAGGGTGCGAGAGAGAGGGAAGAGGCATGACCTGTGCCCTGAGGACGTGGAAGGTTCACCAGTCACTTAGGACGCCCCTCCTCGGCAGCCTCCACTCCTTCCTTCCTCATTCTGCCTCTTCCTAGGGTGTCGGGGATCAGTGGATCTTGCCAGCCAACCATAAGGGACTTTGTGCTGGTCCACCCTCTCAGTCTTCCATTCAGCGACGGGGAAAGCTCAGCAGGTGGTTTCCCAAACTATTTACTTGTTACTTATTGGTCAAACATCTGTGTCTCTCCGATCCCAAACTGGACATTTGACCAACTTCTGAGGGAAGTTCATGTTCGCACATAGCTGTTCTCAGCACACGAAGTAACACCTGTAGTGTAAGTCATTTACAGTGCCTGACGCATAAAGTGCTGAGTGGCTTGGTTGTTGCTCTTTTGTATGGGACAGATGGGGAAGGGCAGGTTAGAGGACACTTCCTGCTTGTCAGTTTCAGGCTAACTGCACATCTGACAGTCCAGGTTTGAGAACACACACACACACACACACAGAGTTTCCTGAAAACCATTTATCTAACACTTGTCACTGTTTTCCTGCAGCTGTTTGTCTTCTCCCATTTCAGCAGATCCTCTGACTCCCAGCAAAGGTAAGGTATGAATTGGACGACTGGGTGTAGTCTTCTCCCATTTCAGCAGATCCTCTGACTCCCAGCAAAGGTAAGGTATGAATTGGACGACTCGGTGTACCATTCAAGTAGTGCTCATATTTTGGATTTTTAGTTTTCTTATATTAGCAGCTCACCTGGCTGAGGACAAGAATAAAATCAACTGTTTTTGGCATTTGGTTTTGTGCCTGGATCTGTTGGACTCCTAGAAGCTGTGTTGTCTCTGGGCATTGTCATAACCACCTGATGAAGGAAGTTTTAGCAGCCCCTTAAGGAGACTGGGAAACTGAGGCTAGAGCCAGAGTAATAGGAAATGATAGAACCAACCAAATCGGGGCCCAGTGGGAGCCCTTTAAAGCTGGAGGGCAAGATTATTTCCTACAAGTTCCCAGCTGGAAATCAGGACCCTCGGGACAAGGCTGAGCCTTCTGTGTTCTTGTACAGAAGACCAGAGACCATAAATGATCAGATGAACAGAGCGGTGATCTAGTCACCATTTTAACTACAAAGAGGAACAAATCGGATGAATAGGTTAAATGAATACCTGATCCTCATCCTCTGAGACCACACAGGAGACAAAAAACAAACATCAGTACCTCAGTATGGTAGGCACACAATAGAGAATTTGGGGGCAAACTGAAGGCAGAGGTAGCTGAGTTTGGAGAGGACTCAACAGAGTGGAGTTGGTGTGCAGCTGGCACTTCGCCTAGAGCAGGGTGTGTGCAGGAGATAGATGTCCGTGATTTATGAAGCAATTTACTTCCTGAAGTCAAGGAGGAGGAGGATCTGTTCCTTACACAGAGACTGGCACATAGTCGAGGCACCCGTTAGTGCTGGGTGAGAGAACACTATTGTCAAGTAAGAAATAGAGAACTTGTCGGAAACCTTAATCTGCACCAGTGTTCCATGACTTAACAGTCATTATTTCATTTAGTGTTCGCAACCTAAGAAAATGATCAGAGAGGTCATGCAGCCTGCCCAAGATGGCACAGGAGGTAGTGAAAAAAGACTCAGGTGCCGCTTTGTCTTGCTCTAGACTCTATGTACAGAGTCCTGCTCTCACAGAGGAAATTGCTTAATGCTCAGCCTCATCTACCATTAAAGATGACCTTTTTGTGATCCTGACCTCTTCTTCTAGGCCTGGAATCCCACCTCAGCAAGTTTGAATTGACTTGTCTCCTTTGAGAACACTTGAAGAAGCCCCTTCCCTGGCAGAGCTTTTCCTGTCAACAGCTTTTCTTTCTAGGCAGGGAACTCATCACAGGTATTTTCCAAAAAAGAAAGCAAGGGGAATCACATTTCATTCAGTCTGGATGTAGAAAGAAAACAAAGGCCAGGACTTAGAGCTAACTCTGAATGGCCTGGAGCCCCTGGCCTCCCTCTCAGGGAGTTGTTCACAGGGCAGCATGTTTGCCTTTGTTACAAAAAGCACTTCCCTGAGGGATCTAGCCAGAGGGATATCACCCTATGTCAGGCACAGTGTGTCTGAGCGGAAAAGATAGAGACATGTGAAAAGGACCTTTAGTTAACCCTGAAGTGCAGACCATTGGCCCCCAGTGACTCTAGCCTGATCACTGGGCAGTTTCTTTGGTCTAACCTTCCCATCTGGAGCTGCAACCAATACCACTTTTGCTGATTGTTGGGCAGCTGGGCTCTCTATTTGTGTGCAATGAAAGGCTGGGTTCCAGCAAACTCCTGTGATGTGTTAATTTTTCAACCTGACATTTTCTGCTCAAATACATTCTAATGTTTCCTAAGTTAAAGACTGCATTTGAAGACCACTGTTAGGTTAAAATCTACCACCTATGGGGTTGGGTGCTGTAAACATGCTTTCCCTACTAAGGAAAACCTCTTATTTGTAGTTCTTTGCTAACCTAATTAGATGTTGAAGTGTTCACCCCAGAGCCTGCTTTTTATTTCCCAAGAAACAATCCAACTAATCCATATTCAGCAGCTTCTAAGAAAAGTCTTATTCCAACCACTCCTGAAGAAATCAGCTTCTTTGAATCTAGACAGAACATTTAGAAATCAGAAAGAGCTGTCTTGATAGAAAATGCAAGAAAGTGACTCATTATTACCCTGATTGGTTTTGGAGGGGAAAATTTAGTGGAATTAATACCCATACACGTTGAGAATTTTCTGTGGCGCCACATACCACAGGGAGAACCCAGGCTACATCCCATCAGCTTTAAATAGGGACACCTTCTCCTGCACCCAAGCTAGTTATGGGCCAAAAACATATCTGCTTGGGAAGGTAGATAAGAACACATTGATCTAGCTCCAAATTAGACAATTGGAGATCCTAAGAGACTAAGTAACAGCTATTAAATGGCAGAGCCAAAGTCCCTTCTTAGTCTGTTGTACCACGAGCCTACACAGAATTGTCACTACAGTATTTTTGATGTCAAGAAATCAAACTCTATTCCTTCCATCCATGTATCTAGCAAGCATAACATGATATACCAAGCATGTGGTATATGATGTTGGTGTATGATGTAGCATGTTGGTGGCAATGACTTAACATACACATGGGCAGCCAAGAATGTCTGTGGGAGGCTGAAGTTAACAGAAATGCGCTGTATGCCTCCACAGGCTCATCCAGTTGAAGTATTGATCATTCAAACAGTAGCTCACATTTAGTGACGGGTTTTTGTCATTTCAGCTGGGTACTCAGGCAAGGTATGCAGACATGTATGCACAAGATGCCCCGCCTTTAAGGAGCTTACAGCTTACAGTCACATTGGGGGAGATTAAGACATGAGATCAAAAGAGAAACAAGTTTCTTTATGGAAAGTGCTTTTTCCTGGACTCCCTTGATTCCATTCACTTCCACTGTTATTACATAAAGTTCTGTATCATAAAAGTGTGGGTTTTACTTGTTGTTCTGTGCTTGGTCTCTGTCACTAAATGTTGAAGTCAGAGGCTATGTCTTCTTCTCCACTGTCTTGTTCTTCATTGTGCTCATGAACAGAATAGGAAAATATTACAAGATCCAAAGAAGAGACATAATTACTATGGGCTGGACATAGGTGACCATCAAAATTAACCAGTTAGATGATGTAATTCCCATATGTCAGACATGAGTCACAGTGTTCAGTTTTCTTCGGAAGTCAGATGTTTTACCAATCATTTATCTTTTATTTTTAAGTTTTACTGTGCTTATTCTTAAAAATTTTAAGATAAAGAAACGTTTTGATTGATTAGAGACAAATGAATTTCTTTACTTCATGAACCACACCTGAACAATTTCTTATCTCTGTGCATTAGACAGTTGGCCATTCAATTCATTTTTATCAGCTGAACTCATTAAGAATCATGTGTGCCACAAGACAGAGCTGGGTCTCAAGCCAAGATGGTATAAGTTAGGAGATTACTTCCTGTTAAGTTTGTAGAAAAATAAGAGAGTAAGCTTAGTTTGAGGGATGGGTAAATTTCCAAGAGACCCAGGGAAGAAGGGAAGGAAAGCCGTGAAATAATCTAAGTAGCATTCCCCTCAGTTGATTCAGAAGAGAATAGGATTAAAAATTACAGGTAAAGAGTGAA